TGTGTGTGCATGTGTTCTTTTTTTTGTGTGTGTGTGTGTTTGCTGTGTGTGTGTGTGTGTGTGTGTGTGTGTGTGTGTGTGTGTGTGTGAGTGTGTGTGTGTGTGTGTGTCTGTGTGTGTGTGCATGTGTATGTTTGTGTGTGTGTGTGTGTGTGTGTGTGTGTGTGTGCTAAATATAGACATATTCTCTAAATCTTTCTGAATATTACAACAGCCTGAGGAGATGAAACACACTGTCACACACACACACACACACACACACACACACACACACACACACACACACATACACACACACAGTTACACTCACAGAACTCTCTCTTTTTTTTCAGGAATGCTGACTATCACAGACTTCATCAACATCCTGACCAGATACTACAAATCCCCCATGGTAACACACACACACACACACACACACACACACACACACACACACACACACACACACACACACACACTCTAACATGTTCTGTGTCTCCTTCAGGTTCAGATCTACGAGCTGGAGGAACACAAGATCGAGACATGGAGAGGTACATGTGTGTGTGTTTGTGTGCGTGTGTTTCTCAGAGTGTACGAGTATGTGTGTTTGTTTGTGTGTGTGTGTGCTTGTGTTTTTGTGTGTGTGTGCTTGTGTATGTGTTTGTGTGTGTGCTTGTGTGTGTGTGTTTGTGTGTGTGTGTGTGCTTGTGTGTGTGTAATAATGACATTCCTTTCTCTTCATGTAGAGCTGTACCTGCAGGAGACCTTCAAACCTCTGGTCCACATCTCACCTGAAACCAGGTATGTGTGTAAATGATACAAGGAAAAGGAAACAAGGATATGAGAGGCTAAGAGATACGCAATGAGGAGAAAATGAGAGGAAACAAGGATAGGAAACAGGAGTAGGAAGCCGACAGTTGAACCCCACCTCCTTTAACTGTCATTACAGCTCTTGCCTGGTTCGAGTCCTACCTGTCTAACAGGAAAAACGTTGTCACCATCAGTGACTGCAGCTCCCCTCCCGCCCCAGTCAACCAAGGTGTACCTCAAGGCTCTGTGCTTGGACCCCTCCTATTCAATATCTACATGCTCCCACTTGGTCAAATCATCCGCCAACATGGTCTCAGCTTTCACTCTTATGCTGATGACACACAGCTCTATCTCTCCACCAAACCGTCCACTCAGCTCCCCCTCAATCCCTTGTCAACTGCCTGCAGGACATAAAAACTGGATGTCATCAAACCTGCTCAAAATCAACAGCAATAAAACAGAGCTCATGATTGTGGCTCCCGAGGCGCAGCTCCAGAAGGTTGGAGACCTGCTTCTCTCCATTGACGGCTGCTCCATCTCCCCGTCCACTGAAGTCTGCAACCTGGGAGTCATCCTGGACACCACCCTCTCTTTCCAGGCGCACGTCAAATCTGTCACCAAATCCGCCTTCTACCACCTAAAAAACATTGCCAGAATCCGGCCTTCACTCTCTGACTCTGTGGCAGAAACCCTGGTACACGCCTTCATCACATCCCGTCTGGACTATTGCAATGGAGTCCTGTCCGGGGTTCCCAGCAAAACCCTGGATAGGCTCCAATACGTCCAGAACTCTGCCGCCAGGCTTCTCACCCACACCAAGCCATGGCACCATATCACCCCCACCCTCATCCACCTCCACCGGCTGCCGGTCAAGTCCCGGATTCAATACAAAACACTCCTCCTCACGTACAAGTCCCTCCATTCCCTCGCCCCCCAGTACTTATCGGACCTCCTCCATCCCTACACCCCTTCTCGGAGTCTGCGGTCCTCAGACACGGGCCTGCTCTCCATCCCCCGCTCTCGCCTCCGAACTGTTGGTGACAGGGCATTCAGTGTTGCGGCCCCCACCCTCTGGAATGCACTTCCTGCCGAGATCCGTAATGCTGCCTCCCTGGACATCTTCAAATTATCACTAAAAACACACCTGTTCACCCTGGCCTTCGGGCCCGAGCCCTTTTCTGGTCCCCTGGCTTCCTTTATTTATTTATTTGGTTTGCCCGTTGATTGTCTGTTTGTTTTGTTTGTCCACCATGGACAGCGACCTTGGGTCCCTTGAAAGGCGCTATATAAATATCATTTATTATTATTATTATTATTACATCACTTCCTCCTCTCCTCTCTCCTCTGTCCTCAGTATCTTGGAGGCGGTGTCCTCTCTGATCCAGAATCAGATCCACCGTCTGCCGGTCATCGACCCGATCAGCGGGAACGCCCTTTACATCCTGACTCACAAGAGGATCCTCAAGTTCCTGCAGCTGTTTGTGAGGAATCATGTTCATATTAAATAATAACAACAACTTTCTGCAGCAGATATTTATATATATTAACATTTATCTCCCTGTATTTGCTCCCAGGTGTGTGAGATGCCGATGCCGGCCTTCATGCGCTGCTCTCTGGAGGATCTGAGCGTTGGAACGTACTCCAACATCGCCTTCGTGCACCCCGACACGCCGCTCATCACGGCGCTCTGCGTCTTCACCCGCCGCCGCGTCTCCGCCCTGCCCGTCGTCGACCACAACGGTGACAACACGCCGTTAAAATACTGAATTTCTGTGATTTAATCCTGATTTCCTGTGATTTAATCCTGACTTCCTGTGATTTAATCCTGACTTCCTTTGATTTAATCCTGACTTCCTGTGATTTAATCCTGACTTCCTTTTATTTAATCCTGATTTCCTGTGATTTAATCCTGACTTCCTGTGATTTAATCCTGACTTCCTTTGATTTAATCCTGACTTCCTGTGATTTAATCCTGACTTCCTGTGATTTAATTCTGACTTCCTTTTATTTAATCCTGACTTCCTTTGATTTAATCCTGACTTCCTTTGATTTAATCCTGATTTCCTGTGATTTAATCCTGACTTCCTTTGATTTAATCCTGATTTCCTGTGATTTAATCCTGACTTCCTTTTATTTAATCCTGATTTCCTGTGATTTAATCCTGACTTTCTGTGATTTAATCCTGACTTTCTGTGATTTAATCCTGACTTCCTGTGATTTAATCCTGACTTCCTGTGATTTAATCCTGATTTCCTGTGATTTAATCCTGACTTCCTGTGATTTCATCCTGACTTCCTTTGATTTAATCCTGATTTCCTATGATTTAATCCTGACTTCCTGTGATTTAATCCTGATTTCCTGTGATTTAATCCTGACTTCCTGTGATTTAATCCTGATTTCCTGTGATTTAATCCTGATTTCCTGTGATTTAATCCTGACTTCCTGTGATTTAATCCTGACTTCCTTTGATTTAATCCTGACTTCCTGTGATTTAATCCTGATTTCCTGTGATTTAATCCTGATTTCCTGTGATTTAATCCTGACTTCCTGTGATTTAATCCTGATTTCCTTTGATTTAATCCTGACTTCCTGTGATTTAATCCTGACTTCCTTTGATTTAATCCTGATTTCCTGTGATTTAATCCTGATTTCCTTTGATTTAATCCTGACTTCCTGTGATTTAATCCTGACTTCCTTTGATTTAATCCTGATTTCCTGTGATTTAATCCTGATTTCCTGTGATTTAATCCTGACTTCCTTTGATTTAATCCTGAATTCCTTTGATTTAATCCTGATTTCCTGTGATTTAATCCTGACTTCCTGTGATTTAATCCTGACTTCCTTTGATTTAATCCTGACTTCCTTTGATTTAATCCTGACTTCCTGTGATTTAATCCTGACTTCCTTTGATTTCATCCTGACTTTCTGTGATTTAATCCTGACTTCCTGTGATTTAATCCTGACTTCCTGTCTGTGTTGTTCTGCAGGGAGAGTGGTCGACATCTACTCCAAGTTTGACGTCATTGTGAGTAAATCTAGAATTGTTATATATCAAGGAAGGGTAACAAGAAAAGAAAACAAGAATATTAGAAGGATATAAGAGGAGAGGAAACAAGTATAGATACAGAAATAAGACGAGGAAATTAAGAAGAGGAAACAAGGAGAGGAAACAAGGATATAGGAGGAAACAAGACTTGGAGGAAAAGTGGAAACAAGTGTTGTGTTCACTATTTAAGGAAGTGAAGGAGATCTAAGTGTGTGTGTGTGTGTGTGTGTGTGTGTGTGTGTGTGTGTGTGTGTGTAGAACCTGGCGGCAGAGAAGACGTACAACAACCTGGACGTCACGGTGACTCAGGCGCTTCGTCATCGATCGCAATACTTTGAAGGCGTCATGAAATGTAACAAAAGAGAAACGCTGGAGACCATCGTGGACCGTATCGTGAAGGCAGAGGTACACACACACACACACACACACCACACACACACACACACACACACACACACACACCACACACACACACACACACACACACACACACACACACACACACACACACACACAATTGTATATCAGTATGTAGTGTCTCTACTTTAAAGAGTCCTCTCCTGCTGATGTTCAGGTATATATCAGTATGTAGTGTCTCTACTTTAAAGAGTCCTCTCCTGCTGATGCTCAGGTGTATATCAGTATGTAGTGTCTCTACTTTAAAGAGTCCTCTCCTGCTGATGTTCAGGTGTATATCAGTATGTAGTGTCTCTACTTTAAAGAGTCCTCTCCTGCTGATGTTCAGGTGTATATCAGTATGTAGTGTCTCTACTTTAAAGAGTCCTCTCCTGCTGATGTTCAGGTGTATATCAGTATGTAGTGTCTCTACTTTAAAGAGTCCTCTCCTGCTGATGTTCAGGTGTATATCAGTATGTAGTGTCTCTACTTTAAAGAGTCCTCTCCTGCTGATGTTCAGGTGTATATCAGTATGTAGTGCCTCTACTTTAAAGAGTCCTCTCCTGCTGATGTTCAGGTGTATATCAGTATGTAGTGTCTCTACTTTAAAGAGTCCTCTCCTGCTGATGTTCAGGTGTATATCAGTATGTAGTGTCTCTACTTTAAAGAGTCCTCTCCTGCTGATGTTCAGGTGTATATCAGTATGTAGTGTCTCTACTTTAAAGAGTCCTCTCCTGCTGATGTTCAGGTGTATATCAGTATGTAGTGCCTCTACTTTAAAGAGTCCTCTCCTGCTGATGTTCAGGTGTATATCAGTATGTAGTGTCTCTACTTTAAAGAGTCCTCTCCTGCTGATGTTCAGGTGTATATCAGTATGTAGTGTCTCTACTTTAAAGAGTCCTCTCCTGCTGATGTTCAGGTGTATATCAGTATGTAGTGTCTCTACTTTAAAGAGTCCTCTCCTGCTGATGTTCAGGTGTATATCAGTATGTAGTGTCTCTACTTTAAAGAGTCCTCTCCTGCTGATGTTCAGGTGTATATCAGTATGTAGTGCCTCTACTTTAAAGAGTCCTCTCCTGCTGATGTTCAGGTGTATATCAGTATGTAGTGTCTCTACTTTAAAGAGTCCTCTCCTGCTGATGTTCAGGTGTATATCAGTATGTAGTGTCTCTACTTTAAAGAGTCCTCTCCTGCTGATGTTCAGGTGTATATCAGTATGTAGTGTCTCTACTTTAAAGAGTCCTCTCCTGCTGATGTTCAGGTGTATATCAGTATGTAGTGCCTCTACTTTAAAGAGTCCTCTCCTGCTGATGTTCAGGTGTATATCAGGATGTAGTGTCTCTACTTTAAAGAGTCCTTAATGTTCAGGTGTATATCAGTATGTAGTGTCTCTACTTTAAAGAGTTCTCTCCTGCTGATGTTCAGGTGTGTATCAGTATGTAGTGTCTCTACTTTAAAGAGTCCTCTCCTGCTGATGTTCAGGTGTATATCAGTATGTAGTGTCTCTACTTTAAAGAGTCCTCTCCTGCTGATGTTCAGGTGTATATCAGTATGTAGTGTCTCTACTTTAAAGAGTCCTCTCCTGCTGCAGGTCCACAGGTTGGTGGTGGTCGATGAAGAGTCTCGTATCGTCGGCATCGTCTCTCTGTCAGACATCCTGCAGGCGCTGGTGCTCACCCCCACAGGTAAACAACAACAAAGCTGTTGTTGTTATTGTTTGTTATAGCTGAGAGCAGCGCTACGTCACTTTCTGGGGAAAACAACAATCAGATACAATGTAACAATTTCTTCACTTTCACTGAGATCACAGGAAGATCAAAGAGAAATCTGTGGCTATAATGTTGTTGTTGTTGTTATTGTTTATTGCTATAGAGAGCAGCGCTACGTCAACAATCAGAGCCAATCAGAAAACAATATTTGTATCATTTCTAAAAACTGCTGAGTCATGTATTACACGCTAGACAACAAACAAACAAATAATACTGTTGTTGTTGTTGTTTTCTGCAGGGTCAGGGAGGAAGGAGTCTCTCCCCCCTCAACCTGACACCTGCCAGCAGGGGGAGACAGAGGACGAAGGAAAGGGGGAGACAGAAGAGGAAGGAAAGGGGGAGACAGAGGAGGAAGGAAAGGGGGAGACAGAAGAGGAAGTAAAGGGGGAGACAGAGGAGGAAGGAAAGGGGGAGACAGAGAGAAGGGGAGACAGAAGAGACAGAAGAGGAAAGAAAGGGGGAGACAGAAGAGGAAGGAAAGGGGGAGACAGAGGAGGAAGGAAAGGGGGAGACAGAGGAGGAAGGAAAGAGGGAGACAGAAGAGGAAGTAAAGGGGGAGACAGAGGAGGAAGGAAAGAGGGAGACAGAAGAGGAAGTAAAGGGGGAGACAGAGGAGGAAGGAAAGGGGGAGACAGAAGAGGAAGTAAAGGGGGAGACAGAAGAGGAAGGAAAGGGGGAGACAGAGGAGGAAGGAAAGAGGGAGACAGAAGATGAAGTAAAGGGGGAGACAGAGGAGGAAGGAAAGGGGGAGACAGAAGAGGAAGTAAAGGGGGAGACAGAAGAGGAAGGAAAGGGGGAGACAGAGGAGGAAGGAAAGGGGGAGACAGAGGAGGAAGGAAAGGGGGAGACAGAAGAGGAAGTAAAGGGGGAGACAGAGGAGGAAGGAAAGGGGGAGACAGAAGAGGAAGTAAAGGGGGAGACAGAAGAGGAAGGAAAGGGGGAGACAGAGGAGGAAGGAAAGGGGAGACAGAAGAGGAAGGAAAGGGGGAGACAGAGGAGGAAGTAAAGGGGGAGACAGAAGAGGAAGTAAAGGGGGAGACAGAAGAGGAGACAGGTGAAGCAGAAAAGGGGGAGACGGGGGAGGAAGAGTGACATCATCATTACTGCCGCTCGATTGGAGCAGAAGAAGAAGGGGCGGGCTCAACGAGAGTGCTACACAGAGGCTGACGTGTGATTGGCCGGGAGGCTCCGAGAGTCCGTTTGTTATTGGCCGTCGGTTGGAGAGAAGTCGTTAAAGGGCTGTGATTAGACAGCTGCTCTGGAAGTGGGCGGGACATCACACAGCGAGAGCCAATCAGGGATCTTTGATTGTTTTTAAACACTGAAATGTACTATTCTGATTGGTTGAGAGTTTTAAATCAATAAATCGTTATAAAAACCATAGTTTATATTCCAGGAAATCACTGAAACACTGACATTACAGTGCTCTTAAATATGAACTACTACTCACTGTAGGATTGTATTGTTTTATAGTAGGTATAGTTATTTTGGTGTCAAATTTTAAATCTGTACAGAAATAGATTTTATTAAGTTAAAGTATTTATAGTTTCTAGTCAATATTTAATAACCTGTTTCTAATTACATGTTTTTAAAAACCGCTGTTGTTTGTAGAGGAATGAACCTTTAATTCAGCTCCAAAATAATAAACTTTAACCTAAAAATGTGCTATATATGTTGCTGTTGTTAAAGACAATGAATAAAAACATTCTCCTTTTCAAAGTGTCTTGCTTTACCGCTTTAGACTCTCTCAGACCCTCATATTCAAATACTATATTGCAAACCATACTACCAAAAAGTTAGCATGCACGCTAAGCCCCGCTACGGGACATTATTTAGAAAAAACGTTAATCAACAACGACCCCATTTGTGCCACAAAAAACCCAAATGATGTTTTAAAGGGGTCCTATCATGCAAAATACACTTTTTGATGTCTTCTCTACATCACTATGTGTCCCCGGTGTGTCCCCGGTGTGTCCCCGGTGTGTCCCCGGTGTGTCCCCGGTGTGTCCCCGGTGTGTCGGGGAACTCACGCAGCGTCAGGAAATAAAACCCTCTCTCTTTTCCTCCGTACCCAAATCTCTAAAAACGGGGAACAACGGAGCTGATCCAGATTTGCGTCCGATATGACTTAATATCTGAAATGTGGACCCACGGCCCAATCAGAAACGTTGCTATCAGAAACAATGCCCGACTGTTTTGGACGTAATATGCTCGGTGTTTACATTAGCATGCTAACACTCAGAGCTAACCTGTACTGGAGAGCATGTGTGTGAAGAAGCAGGAAGTAGAAAGGAACTCACCTTGTGGTATAACCGGCAAGAGAGAAAGCCTTTGAGCTCCAAACTGTTTCAGAGAGAATCCTTGATAATCCATGATATGGCGTTTCATCACGGCAGCATTTAGTTTAGACAGTAGCTGCCGGGTCCCGCATGAGCTCAGACCCCTCCTCTTTAAAGCGTTATACCCAGATCAGCACTTTAGAAACAGGAAGTGAAATAGAGGGATATGAGGCGTGGCTAGAATGATCTGTTTGGTGTTTGGAGCAAAACACTTCATAGACATGTTTTTTATATATTTGTATCAGATCTATGCTATTGCCTAAAAATAGCACGATAGGTGACCTTTAAAAGATAATTTTGCAAGTCAAGAAAGTAAATGTAACGACAATAAGAAACGCGAACTATAAATTGCGTAATTAGGGAGCTAACGTTCGTCTCCTAGTGTGAAATTATGAATAAAGAATGGTGTATAAGTCTGGCCTAAATCTTCTGTCAGAAAGATTGCAGCAATCCAGGGGGTGTAGATATCCAAACTTTAATTGTTCACAGGAGTTATGGTGTTACAGGTTTGTTATGTTGTGTTGTGGTTATCTAGGAAATATAAATACACAGTAGATTAAATTATTGAATGACAATATTAATCCTAATAGTTACATTACGATTTCCTGCTAGGAACAGTACATACACATAAATGCTGGAACAGTCAGCTTCATGGTAAACAATACCAGAAATGCCCGCAAGAGGGCTCACTTGACCGCAACAAGTGCAAGTGTTTTAACTAGGGCTGTCAGTCGATTAAAAATAGTTAATCGCGATTAATCGCAAATTAATCGCACATTTTTGCTCTGTTCTAAATGTACCTTAGAGGAATATTTTTCAAGTTTTTAATACTCTTATCAATATATGAGCGGACAAATATGCTTTATGCTAATGTTTATTATCATTTGAACAATGACAAATATTCTCATGAATATTAAACACAACAACCTGTGTGTGTGTGTGTGTGTGTGTGTGTGTGTGTGTGTGTGTGTGTGTGTGTGTGTGTGTGTGTGTGTGTGTGTGTGTGTGTGTGTGTGTGTGTGTGTGTGTGTGTGTGTGATGGATCGTTGGAGCTATGTGCAACTCAAGGCATATGCTCGAACGGGAGCTGCCTGGACGCTGCAATCAACAGCTGCAATCTGTTAGCGCAGCTAGCTAGCACCAGATGCTAACAACAACAATGCACGTAAGGTCTCTCTCTCTGCTCGCTCGGGCCACACACACACACACCCTCCCGGTCCTCCCAACAGCCAGTCGGTGCCTGCCGGTGAGCGTGGAAGTGTGGTCTGTCACAAGCGGGCAGCAGGAGCGGGGCTGTCAGCATCAGCTTGTAGACGGTATTTTAAACTCGATGCGCTCTGAAACTACGGGGCGTTTTTTTTTGCGTTAACGCGTTATTAACGCGTTAACTTGACAGCCCTAGTTTTAACACGTGATAATGGCGGCTTACAGGGGGATAACGTTGTACATGCGGTAATGGCGGCTGACAGAGGCATACAGTTATACACAGCTCACCGCAATAGCACAAGACTGGAAATATATGGCGATCGTACATACCAAATATAATTATATCGACAGTCACAGCGGACAGAAAGTGAAACTACTTTTTTGTTTTGCGGTCATTAACATCAATTTTTCTTCACTGTTAAAGAAAAAAGGGGGACAATTCTGGTTCAATGTAATTCGAACATTTTAACTGTTGGATACAAACAGAAGGACGATAGCTCATATATGAGACTTCAAAGGTGTGGTGGCGTCTTGATCCTTGTCTACAATTTAATAGCCACCTCTATCGGGGTTGTGGGTTTTGATGCGCCTCTCTTTGTTTCCAAACATTTCAGCGGAGATCGTAGTTGAATCAGATGAGCTTTATTCCTTGATCCACACGGTGCATACAGGAGGACACATTTCTTCGCTTCATAGTAGCTCAAAATTGTATCATTTTCCAAAGTAACAAAAAGAACACGTTCATCACCCCCAGCTGTGTCCTATCAACCTACCATATATAGGCATAGCCATGCACGTGATACTGACGCACATATAACAAATAATAAGTGAGCCTTAAATTAATGCATTTTAAACCATAATGTGACTCACAACAAATAGCCGATAATTTACAGTATAATCTAATTTATATTATTATTAAGCCTAACATTCAGACAATAATAACAAAAGGTAAAATGGCTCCAACAAAAAGGTCTTTTATTTTGAAACTCTACATCAGATTGTCCTGATTCTCTCTGAGTGACTAGATGGGGTCTCCTGCTATCACCCTGGAGTGAAATAAGTATTTGATTGACTTCGAATGACTCTTTGATTATGGACGGTTTCCATTAAATAATAATACAAATATAGATGGACAATAGATCTAATTTGAGATTTTAAACAGCATACATTTTAAATTGTGCTTCAGAAAGTAATGTTATTTTAGGAGTGTTGTGAGATGGTGTCAACATCAATTGAAATGAGTCACCCAGTGGAAATGTCAGATGTCTTCATAACTGTATCCTTACATTTTACATTCACTCAGTTATAATGTGGTGGTTATACGTAGTTTGTTTTAAATTATTATTGATCACATTATATAGTACATATTTCTTAATTTAAGCTCCAGTATATATGAATATGTTTGGTGTGTTTTTTAGGTATATTTGTTATTGACCGAGTAAACGCTTTTATTTTGAAGGCAGTTTTTACAGGCCTCTACCGTAATGCATAGGATATTCGCACACCGCAATACAACGTGCGGGCTGGCTTGACTGTGTTTTCCGAAGTGGAGGCTGGCTCGACCACAGTCTGTTGACCCAGTGTTTCCTGACATGACACGTTTTATTTCACGTTGCTATGTGTTTTTAACGTATATTAAAAAACGGGGACATTTCCGGGGACAGTTTCAACCGGGGACAGGCCAATTCAAACGGGGACTGTCCCCGGAAAACGGGGACGTCTGGTCACCCTAACTTATGGCAAACAAGTACTGTAAACAATATATATACACTACGCCGATTATTGTCTGTAAACTGTTATTTAAATGCAAACATATTGATACAAACAGGTGCTTATGCCACAGTAACAATACTTAGTTTCATACACGCACAACGTGGAACACACAACGACCCGTTCACTCGCTGAAAGTCTGTTTATGACCGGTCGCGCGCTGCGCGTGACTAATGACGTTACAGTGTGAGGGGTGCGTCCGGTAACTATCTCTGGACTGTGTGGGGGGTGTCCCAAAGCAGGGAAGTTTGCACACCTAGTGTTTTCTGAGTTTTGACGTATTCACATTTCCCCCTCTCAGTAAATAAGCCAAGATAACATTTGTGCGTTAAACAAAGCTAGGTAGCTAAACTAATGCTAGCTAGCGAGCTAAGGTAACGGCTGCGTTGATTACGTTTATATTTTGTGAGTTGGACGTAGAAAAGTCAGAATCAATATAGATGTTTTTAATTTTAAAGTAAATTCAGATTGAACACAGTAAAAAAATGTAAATGATTGTGTCCGTCCAAAAAAACCACATTACTTATAGTGAAAACGAATCGAGGGAAAGTTCCACATACACACAGGTTACCAAATAAGGAGTGAGAGACGCGTAGCAAAGCCGGAAGCTGCGCTAACCTCTGGTGGCTACCATTAGCAGCTAATATTTATTCTCCTATTTTTGCATAAAAATGTAATTATGGATTATCAATAATTTGTTCAAAGTGACAGACACATTGGATGAACCTATGGATTAACCTTCAGCCGCGTCTTTTCTCGTTTTAATGCCATTGAACACGACTTTTGATCAGAAAAACAGCTAAGGTGAGCATATCTCCATTTTTTGCTACCGAAAGCTACGTCGTGTGTCGTCTGTATTTGCTTCCCCTGTCGCGAGTTCTAATCGCTCAGTGATGATCCTTATATTTCTATAATCTGTGAAATCTCAGGATGTTAGCTACGCTTGTTTGTGCGGATCCAATAAGTATATTGATCGGTATAGCTAGAGTTCTGTGCTCTGCGTTAGCATGTTTTCGCTCAGGGCTCATTTAGACGCTTCTTGTGAGGCTTGTGTTTTTGTTTCGGTAAAAATGGTTCGTATCTTCAGTTAGCTCATTAGGAGGGTTTGCCACATTCATAGTTTTTGTAACATTAAGAAGCCCTGAGACACAGTGTCGTGAGAAAAAAAGACCAGCCGAAGGGGTCTTTGGGGCCAAACCGGAAGAACTACATTTTTTAGTTTGAATCGAAAATGGGAAAAGGGGCGGGGCTACTTCAAGTGTATAGTTTGCCAAAATAATGTAAATAAATATATTTGTAAACAATACAGAGATCCTAGCTAATGAAGACAATTATCAAGTACATTTGAGCATGTTATTATAAAATGCTTGATATTGTGTAATGATGATCGTTATTAAGCATCATGAGTATTTATGAGAGCTTATTGATATAAATATAGAGCGCTATAAGCTAATTATAATGCATTATAGACACGTTTTTGATCCATTTAGGAAACCAGAAACACAACTGGAGTCAGTGTAAAATGATTTGACAGTATTTATTGATTATTTCCATATACAAAAAGATACAATTGAATTAACCCTTTTTTCTACAGTGATGTTTATGTTATGTGTGTGTGTGTGTGAGTGTCTGCACTGAGGAATAACTACATTCATTGATACGATAATGATCCTGGCACTGGGTGTAGAGGAAGATAAGAGACACAAAGAGATATACAATTTATGAAAATAGATAAGAAAAGATGCCACACACACACACACACACGTATGTTACAGTGAAGGTAGAAAATAAAACAACAGGAAGGGACAGTAACGGGGCTTTTATTTTCTTAAACTGTAGTACTTCCTGTCTGGGTAATGTCTCCCACCTGCTCTACATATATATTTATATATTTTAAATACCAAAAAACCTCTTCCAGTCCAAAAAAAGACCAGGTTGTTGTTGTTGTTGTTTTTACAGTAATGAAAACCAGGCGTACAGATTTCTTTTTTTCCATAGCATGTTAAAATCAGTAGTCTGTCTGTGTTCTACAGTTGAGCTACAACAGTGAAATATAACGTACAAGATTTACATTTCACACCATCATCATCATCATCATCATCATCATCATGGGTTTAAAGATGGCCGCCTCTCAGTTTGTGCACATGGTCATGTTTTTATTATTGTTAGAATATGATGTACGTTTCTATTTAATTATCATTCAATTAAGTTATAGCATACGATAAATCACATTCATATTATTTTCACGTGTTTTTGGGCACCTAATGCTAATATGCTAATGCTAATTAAGACAACATATGTTTCTCTTAAAGGGACAGTGTGCACGATTTAGCGTTGCAGATTGCATGAATATTTTTGGCAATTTCAAATTTAAATACAACGCACCGGCCCTTTAAGGTAGTCTTACTGTTAGAGTAAATATCCAAAATGATCAATAATTAATGTTTTGAGGTAAAATAAAGAGACATACGCTTGTTGTTTTTAGTGAACAGCGTAGAGACGGCCATCTTTACACACCTGTGTGCTCAGGTAAAGGTCTGTTAATGAGGAACCCCTGACAACATGCCTTGGAAACCCCAATAGAAAACATATTATGGAGTCTGGAAGCTGTGTTTTCAGAGCAGAGGACTTTTGTTTTGGAGATTTATGGCCCAAAAACCAAGATGTCGACAACCAAAAGTCCAAATGGAGAAATTGTTTCCACTGGATGTTTGGAGTCAAACAACTCACTTAAAGAGGCAGGACGCTCTGCTGTCAGGGGGTCTATATTACTACATGTGTGATACAGATACCCATATGTCCTTGACTAAGGCCCAAAACAACAAAGACTTTAAGATGTTCAGAAGAAACTCTCCTCACAGGCACTTTAAAGGCCGCGAAAATGGAAGCATCTCTTGCGCTATTAAGCGAAAACGAGCATGTGACTTTTATTTTGAATGGAAGGGACGCCTTGTCCTCCCGCTCTTTAGCATTGAAGCTCAAAACAACCCTCACATCCATAAGCACCAAATCATCTGGTTTTACAGCGTGTTTGTTTACCTTTGTTAGCCAAAATCGCTAGCTTCGTAGCTACTGTATCAGTACCCGAATCTGTCAATGTATTCATAATTTATGTTGAATAAAAGTCAGATGTATACAAACAACACAAAGTCTTGTTTATTGTTTACCTTTGTAGTAAGGTGTTTTAGCCAAAATGCTGTAATTACTATCACTGTGTTTGTACGTTCTGCAGCTAGCTTTGTCGCTATGCTAACATCTCAAACTGTCTACTTATTTATCACTATTTAAGTCTTCAAATACTGTCTTGTTCAAGCATACAATTTTGAGCAGAGCATAAAAGTTGTTTGCAGGACTTTGAAATGCATTTAGACGCTAAAACAGCTACAGATTTTGCGTAATTTTAAGCTAACAGCGCTAGTTCTAGTGCTCATCACATCCAGTCAAATCAAAGTAAAGTTTGAGCGGGAGGAAGAAGGCGACACTATCTCCTTTCAACAATAAAGTCCCACCTCGCTGTGTATTAAGTCACTACTATTCGCTTTAAGTGTGATATGTTAGCCAACGCAATGCTAACAGCACGAGCTAGCTCTCGCTGTGTTGTTTTATCGACATGAGGATGTTTTGAGTTACTGTGTTGGCACTTGGGTAAGTTAGCACTTGTTAGCATTCAACACATTGGTCCCCATTATTCATCGTACCCACTGGTTTCACTGCTAACAATGCTAACTGATGTCTAAATGCTAACTGTAGCAGCATTTCCCCCACAGCGCGACACTTTTTGAAGGTTTCCTGTTGTATTTGTTATTAAACCAGACATGTGAAAATGACGCCGGTTTTTTCCGATTCCTGAACGATAATGTTTCTTTCCCGAACTCACCCTACCGTCGCTCACCGTTTCTGCGCGCGTGGCTTAATGAGGTAATATGTTCCTGAAAAACACCTGGATCTGAGTGAGAATCATCTGAGAACAACAACCCCTGCACACAGGCACAACAATACATTTAATATAATAATAGAAATTAAATTATTGCAGGTTTTCTCAAGATTGACGTCCAGAATCTTAATCATGATCATTTTCTTCTGTTTTAATCGGATATTTTACATGTATTTTGATACTACATTCATTGGAGGGACAGAAGAAGGAAGCAAATGAAGTTGAGTAAGGAGAGAAGGAAAGGAAATGAGTCAAGAGGAGAGGAGGTAATTACATTTGATGCAACTGGAAGACGAAAGATATTACATTTAAAGAGACAGGAAGTTAGAAAGGAAAGATGGTTGAGAAAGGGATGTCAATAGAGACAAGAAAAGGAGACAAGGAGGTAAGGAACCAAGTAGGAGAAAGGACACACGTGGTAAGGAAAGGAGATGAGATTAGAGATAAGGAGATATTAGCTGTGTTTTCATTCACATAAACTGACCAGATTTAGTTTTTGCAGTTGAACGTTTCTGTTAAATGTCAACGTTTTGCGACAACAACTAAAAAACGTTTCATATCACGCTCGCAGAAACGCACAATGCCCCGTGGGGAACGTCGTGAAATGATGGTGAGGTTTAGGCAACAAAATGACTTGGTTAACGTTAATTAAAAAGTTCAAAAACCAAGATAAACTTAGCGATGGTGATGAACTAAAGTTAGGGCTTAAACTCCACAGGAAACAAAGCTTACAGGAAGGAAAGGAAACATTAGGAGAAAGGAAAGAAGGAAGATAACAACACTTTTCATAGCACGCAGAAAAGCACAATGCCACGCGGGTTAAGGCAACAAAAGGATGTGGTTAAAGCATAGACTGTTTATAAAGGGTTAAAGTTAAGAAAAGTTTTTAAAAAATCAAGATAAACTTAGCGATGGTGACGACAAGATGTTGGCGACTAAAAGTTAGGGCTTGAAACTCACTTGACAGTTGAATGAAAACACAACTAATAAGAAGGAAAGGAAACGTTAGGAGAAAGGAGAAAAGTAACAAGGAGGTAACAAGGAGATGGGGGAAGGTAACAAGGAGATGGAGGAAGGAGAAGGAGGAAGGTAACAAGGTGCAGGAGGAAGGTAACAAGGAGAAGGAGGAAAGTAACAAGGAGATGGGGGAAGATAACAAGGAGATGGAGGAAGGAGAAGGAGGAAGGTAACAAGGAGAAGGAGGAAGGTAACAAGGAGCAGGAGGAAGGTAACAAGGAGAAGGAGGAAGGTAACAAGGAGAAGGAGGAAGGTAACAAGGAGTAGGAGGAAGGTAACAAGGAGAAGGAGGAAAGGTAACAAGGAGAAGGAGGGAAAGTATCAAGGAGGAAGGTAACAAGGAGAAGGAGGAAAGTATCAAGGAGGAAGGTAACAAGGAGATGGAGGAAGGTAACAAGGAGCAGGAGGAAGGTAACAAGGAGGACAGTAACAAGGAGATGGAGGAAGGTAACAAGGAGAAGGAGGAAGGTAACAAGGAGAAGGAGGAAAGTATCAAGGAGGAAGGTAACAAGGAGATGGAAGAAGGTAACAAGGAGAATGAAGAAGGTAACAAGGAGATGGAGGAAGGTAACAAGGAGATGGAGGAAGGTAACAAGGTGACGACTACAGATACTAAACGATAAGACAAAATGGAAGTCCAGGTGCTTTTATGATTTCGGCAGTTCAGTTCAGTTCAGTTCAGTTCAGTTCAGTTCAGTTCAGTTCAGTTCAGTTCAGTTCAGTTCAGTTCAGTTCAGTTCAGTTCAGTTCAGTTCAGTTCAGTTCAGTTCAGTTCAGTTCAGTCTAAAAAACAAACACTTTATTTAAGTCGGTGGTTCGAGTCTCGCTGTCGCTTTTCTTCAATCAGTTTGGAGATGTTTATGTATAAAAGAAAAACGGATAAAAAGCTCACAATAAAATATAGAAACGGAACGTAGAAAAGTCTTCTGAGGTATTCGTGGTGTTTGAGGTGATCTGTGGTTCATGAGAAGATGCGGCTCTGTCTATTCTCTCTGAGCGCCGACACGCCCCACGCTCCTCGAACGCCTCCTCTCGACGTCCCTGACTCCATACAGAGCGTTGAGTTCAAGTTAACAATAAAAAAAAGGAAAACACAGAAATATATTCATCTTCATCATCTTCATCATCATCAGCAGCAGCAGCATCGTAGACATTCACTGTTTACACGTATGACATCACAGAAACAAACAAACACATGTTTTTGTTTCCAGTCCGTTATTGACAGTGATGACGCGGGTCGGTTCTGAACCGGACTCTGAGCGGCCGGCAGCGGCTTTGGTCCCGGTTTATGGAAATACAAAAAGAACAAGAGATGACCGTTGACCTCCACCAAATCCTATGTTGACAGGCGCTGAACAATCCCGTGTTCAGACACAAACCTTTTTATCTGCACACCAACACTCCATGTTTATTCAGAATTGATCGCGTGTATCTGGAATAAGTTACGGCTCACGTGAACGGCATTAAGCCCGGCTAAAAGTGATACTTTTTAAAGACCAGAAAGTGACGATGTGCCTTCAATGCATTTCTTCTTTAGATAATTAGTTTGCTCTTAATTCTAGTCAGAATCTTAATGGACATTTTATTTGTCCGTTTTCGTGATGTTTTAGGACTTTAGGGGACGTTCATTCATTTGAAATATGACATGTTTAAGATCATATATTAGGATTTATTAACACTGTAATAATGCTAGAAGCCCTGTTAGCTACTTCTGCAAGACATGTGAGTTTGTGTGCAATGCAGTGTTTATTCAGGAATATGTATGTATTGTCTTTATTGACATGTTAATGAGGTGTGACAGTAAACAGGGAATCTTACCTCCACGGTGTCTTCATTGTTTAAACTGGTGTTTACAGCAGAGTTTAGACGCACTGCATGAGGACACTTTTAGATTCACAATTTGTGGTCAGTTTATCCAAATGACACCAAGTAGGAAATGTCTTGCAGTCGCAGTAGATGTATACAAAAACAATTTTAAATAGACGTCGAAGTCATACTTAATTGGACTAGTTTTCCTAATGTTTATAGGTATTAGTTTCATCATTTTAGTTCATTTAAAAGTAGTTCCTAAGACTTAAAGTCAGAGTATGCACAGTTGGAGAATGCTTATTATTTTAAGACGTGAAACAGCTTAAAAATAATATTGTAATTGTCAGAATAAGTACAAATTGGATATTTTCTGCATGTAAACAACCAGATTCCTGCAGTGGTGCAGCTCAACCACAAGGGGGCGATGTTGGAGGAGGTCAAAGGTGTAAGACACAATAAATCAATCAGCACGGACAGTATAAAATCTAAATAAAAATAGTCACTTTGTGTGACTGTGTTCACATTGTACCACACACACACACACACACACACACACACACACACACACACACACACACACACACACACACACACACACACACACACACACACACACACACACACACACACACACACACACACACACACACACACACACACACCTCTGTACATCTCGAGGTCTTGCACCGTTTTAAAGGGAAAACACTTTTCCCCTTGTTTGGGCACCTTTGCTAATTTACATATTCAGGACAGCCAATAGGCTTTGAGCGCCCTCAGATAAGCCCCTCTCACTTCCTGTTGGCCACGGCTCTTCCCAACGGGGAAAACGTTCTTCGTGTCACGTTTTAAATTGTCCCCCTGACCCCTCCTTCTTGTAGGTTACCTGAGAAGTTCCTTTTCCAAACCAACCAAACGCTGTGGCTTTTCGCCGTCGGCCAATCAAATCCCGCCATTTGAAACGTTTACTTCCTGAAAAAGCTCAGTCTTTAACCTCGAATCTGAACACGAAGACGAGAGGAAACCGTTAAAAACAAACTGGGTGTTGTTTTCCTCCGCCTGTTTCCTCCCCTCTGACTTCACTTCCTGTTTGTTTTGCAACCCGTTGGATCCGAAGGTTTGTTGCGTGTGAATCGAAGCGTTTGGGAAAATAAAATCCAAGAAAGATGTAGAAAAACCCAAAATGTGGAGAGTCTGTAATCTGTTGCGTAACAGTCTTCTGCAGCATCGTAGTAAAAAACGGTAAGTCAATGGTAGATAAATCCAGTGTTAGAAGATGAAGGAAAAAACGGTAGAAATCTGCGAAAGTAAAGAAAAGTCGTCGCTGAGGTACTTCTGAGATAAAGAGCATTCACTGAGTCGGACCTGGATGCTGTTTCCGTGGGTTTGGTTTAAAAAAATAAGAATAAAATGACGAGTAGAAACGAGGACGTGTGCGCTGGTAAGATTCGTCCCCAAAAAAGGACAAGGAAAAAGAAAAGTCCAGAGTTTAAATAGCAGCTGCTTTCCACTGAGAAAAGTGTGTGTGTGTGTGTGTGTGTGTGTGTGTGTGTGTGTGTGTGTGTGTGTGGACGATAGTGCAGTACAAATACTTCATTACTGTACTTCATGTTTCTGGTGTCTGTACTTCTACTTGAGTAAATGCGTGTACTTTTGCCATCTCTGTGTGTGTGTGTGTGTGTGTGTGTGTGTGTGTGTGTTCACAGGAAGTAGAGCTCTCCTCAGATGCTGGACTCTTTGGGGGGGGGGTCCACATTGGTCACCATGGAAGGAGGAAGTGAGGTCACCAAAAGGGCGTTGAGGTCGGAGGTTGGCGGCGTCACGATGTTAGCCTTCAGGCGGCGAATCGATGAAATTCTCTCCTCGACGCAACCTGCGGAAAGACGAGCCTCGGCGTCGTGGTCCCAGCATTCCTCCGCCGTTTCGCAGATCTGAGCCAATCCCTGCGGAGGAAACAGGAAACCAGACGGTCAGGACGCTTAATAAAGGATGCTTTTAATTACTCTATACAAGGTTTGGTTGAATACTATATTCTGATCTTGTCCACATCAATAAGTATTGACCCGAATATACGGCTGAATCTGAAGAAATATAAGAATCTGAAAAAGAGGGTTCGTCTTATATTTGGGGTCTAAACTTTTTTATGTAATTCCAGTCACAACAACAGATGGCTCAGAGAGACACCGTCTTAAAGTAACAGTACAACAGGAGAGAGAGATGGAGAGACACAGAGACCAGGGCTGCAGTCCAATAGTCCGTTTAGCTTAGGAACCTTCCTGACGGAGTGAAATGACCCGGAAGTCCCTCAGTGGCAGCCAATGATGAGAGCCGTTCCAATTCTCTAGATCAGGGGTTCCCAACCTTTATCGGGCCAAGGACCGGCAGATACATTAAAAAAAGATCGCGGACCGGTTGTCAATTTTAACTGATTTGAATATTTACTCACCAGCAGGTGGCAACAGAGGACAATTGTATTTAACAGCCTGAAGAAATACCAATATGCATCCAAAACATATTAACAACGTTTAAAACCAGGATACAATTAAAAGAAATTAGGACCACTGTACACATATTGATATAACTGAAATGTCAGTGAGACCCCTGTTTGCCAGCCATAATGACGTCACACCGGGGCGGTCGTTCCAGTGCACTCCGACAGCATTTAGCACTACATCGAGATTAAGATTAAACTAACTTCTTTTGGGAACACCACATACCTATGGAGTTGGCCAGATGTGTGTAAATTACTGTTCATGGTCATTTTAAAACAAATGCCGTTGTTGGACACACACCGAACACACACACACACAGCTGAGCAGAGCACATACACACACACATCATGCGCCTTTGTGACCGGACATTTCCTTCATACAACGAGTAATAGGGGGAATAATCGGGCCGTTCGATGTGTGTGTGTGTGTGTGTGTGTGTGTGTGTGTAGAGGTGTGTGTGGTTGAAACGTAGCAGCCTGCAGTGGGGAACACAGTGAAGGCGGTGTGTACGCGCTGGTGCTGCAGCCAGTTCATGAAGTGCAGGAGGCTTTACAAACATGTCCTTAAAATGAAGTCCGAGTTGGAAATATATCTCAAATAATGTCTGCGCTGCCGTTTCCCCACATAAACACAGCAGTCTCCTGTGTGCTCCACTTCCTATTGGCGCACCGGTAACTTTCTCTGCGCACGAGAGGCTGAGACCTTATGCTAACCAGTTTTGATTTATTTTGTATGTTTTGGATGAAATAATCTGACTGGTATAGGTAAGGAAATTAAAAAGAAAAAATAATTGATAAAATATTTTTATATATTTATAATTCTGCCCGGTACCGGTCCACGGACCGGGGGTTGGGAACCCCTGCTCTAGATGATAGGAAAAGAGGTTTCAAGCTGCCAAAGTGCTTTGTTCTGAACGTTCATCAGTATTATAATCAAAGAGAGAAATATGAACGTTAGTTTTTACTGAAATGATCAAATAAAGTCAACATCTCTCAGTCTTCACTGAGCTGTGTGGGGTTTGTTCAACTTTTAAAAGATGTTTGAATGGTGATATACACAGTGATAGATGTTAAGGACTAACGTTTATAATAAATACATCTGTATTGATTTAAGATCTTTCCATCAATCATACGTATTGGGATCATTTGTATTAATGTGGACCGGAGGGAGAGGGTGACGAGCAGAAGTTTCACTTTCCTTTTTATTTCAATTCCATCTTTGGTCCTGAAGAATCTGTTTCTCTGTTGTCCCCGTTCATAAAGCATAAAGCAACAGCGTCAGAGCACAGAGTCTCTAGATGAGTTCACAGGAGTCCCTCGTTCTTATTGAACATCCATGTTGTAGTCCGCTGTATAGAGAACTGTAGTCTCCATAGTTTCCCCACAGCAGCAGACGCTCATTCAGGACGTCCGCTGGCGCATCAGAAACACGTGGGAGAGTGAAAGTGCAGTCGATTCTCTAAAGTACCGCAGTCTCTTCTCCTAAGTCCTTTTGAATTCTCCTATCCACTATCCCTTAACCCCGTGACCTTTCACTCAGAGGTCAAGGAATAGGAGATAGGAATAGACGATAGGAGCTGATTTTTGGACTATTCGACTGCAGCCCAACTCCAACAAAGTGGATCAAAAGTAGGTAAGTTAATAAACTAGAGAGGCCAAGTTACGATGCCAATTTTAAGAGGCGATCAAAGAACTGTCGAGCAGCAAAGAAATATGGAGTTACTGAGAGTAACGTTAGAAGATGGAGAGCCCAAAAAGAGCTTGAAGAACAGGGGTCTTCTTATATTCGGGTCAATATGGTACTCTTTACAAGATTTAGTTAAATACACGATTCTGATTTGGACATTCCAAGGGTCTGCTGTCTAGTTCATTAAAGTCATTCCTTATGCTTTTATTTTGAAGGCGGTTTTGGGGCGCTTGTTGAAGACAGACAGGAAGTAAACACACGCAGCGTCCACACGGCGGCGTGCGTTGAAGCTTGCCGGTGAGCTTGTCTGAAACTCGACCAACAACCAATCACATGAATCTCCCGCCCCGGACACACAAGCACACGGTTTGATTGGCTAGAGCTTGTACTGGCATATGATTTGATTGGCTGACGCTTCCGCCGAAGCTTCAAAAGTTGAACATTGCTCTACTTTTTAAGCGAGCAAAGTGAAGCAACGCTCCCACAATGCAGTTCGTCAAAGCGTGACCCCATTCAAAGTGAATGGGCAGAAGCGTTGAAGCACGCCGCCGTGTGGACGGGCCGTAATGAAACTCACGCTGTGTTTGAGCCAGAGCTCCTTCAGAGCCGGCCTCAGCTTCTTGTGGACGACCACGTCCTGAAGGTCCTCCAGAGACGGATGCTGCCCCGCCTCTTCCTCAAAGGGAAGCAGGTACTCTCCCACCGGACCTGAGAGCAAACAACAT